CGGACTCGGACGTTTATGACATCTTTAAGACGTCGAGTTAACGACGTAAGTCATATTTAAGACGTCTTTAAGATATCTAATGTTACAAATCACATCGTCTTTAAGATGTCGTTTTAACGACAATATTAAGTCGTTGCTAAACGTCATTAAGACATCTTTAAGATGTTATGCATTGCTACATCGCCAAAACGTTTTAAAGCTATTAAGTAATTAAAATGTAGCTAATAATGCTTTTAAACTTCTAAAAATATCGTGTACTTCTATTTAAAATAAAAAAATTAAATTGTTACCTACATATTTATTTCTGCCTTTTAAATCAACTGTCAAAACTTCTTGGCATGTAGAACCCTTCTGTCTGAAGCCCTTCTTGAGTGTGAGGCAGTGGCGGCTGGTCAGGTACGGCAGGTACGGCCCGGCCGTACCATCGAAAATCAGGAAGAAAGGGATTTTTAGTTTTTCCTAAAAAGCTTGTCAGATTTTATAGTTTGCAAGTTGAACTAAACGCCAAAAATTTGAATTAAATGTTTTATTCAAAGATTATTATGTATGTAGGCCACTAACCATACACCGTCTATTATAAACATGGGGCACGTGACGTGGGGCTGGCCGCAGCTAGCTCTTTTGTTGTGAATCAAGTCATCGCGCCGCTCTAAAATCATGAGACCAAGCTACCGGGAAGCTGAACGTATAGCAACATGATATTAGCATGTCTAGTTTATCGTTTTTTATGTAGGTACGACACGTCATTGGCCCAATCCTGCTTGTGGAGATTTATTTATTTTTATTATAGTTAAATTAAATAGATATTTCTTTATTTTAAGAAAAGTTACAAAACCAAAATTATTATTTCATTAATACCGAAAAAAATAGGCACAAATAAAAAGCATTACCTAATGGCTTGATTATGATTAAAATTTAATCATTAAATAATCCCATATAGGTACCTAGGTATAATAATGAATATTTTTTTTAGTTTCATCTCTTACATTTTTTATTTTTTGTCAAATATACATTAGTAGTTACATTAATTTTAAATTCATTCCCCTATTTGTTAAATTAAAAAATAAGGTATGATTAAAATTTAATCATTAAATAATCCCGTATACCTATAGGTATACATATACATATGTATAATAATGTTTTTTTTTAGTTCCATCTCTTAAATTTTTTTTTTTGTTATAAATACATTAGTTACATTAATTTTAAATCCATTACCTTATTTGTTAAATTAAAAATTAAGGGTTTAAATGAATAGCATTTAGTGGGTGCGGCTCGCCGTTTACCTTGAAGCCTGCTCGTATCATTCAATCTCAGACATTTGAATTGTATCTTTTGAAAGATGGAGCGATGATATGCCGCGATCCCTCTCGCGCTACACAAAAGCATCAAAACTCAAAAGAGCACATATTTTCGGCCTTAAAATTTAAATTATTTGGAAAACAAAATATTGTTAATTCGCTAGATGGTGCTCGTCGTGAATTCATAGCCAAACATAATAACACAGTTTGCGAAAATAGATTAATGATTAAACATTTAATTAATATGATACTATTATAGTATATTTAAATATAGTATTACTATATTTATCGAAACAAGAACTTGCTTTCCTCGGTTACAATGAAAAAGAAGATTCGTACAATCAAGGCAATTATAAGGAAATTGCTAAATTTGTGGCTGTTTTAGATCCAAATTTTAATAAATTTATAAATCCATCGAAATTGACAGTTTTTACGGGATTGTCTAAAACTATTCAAGATGAACTAATTGCTTCGATAGTTGAAAACAAAATTAATGAGGAAGTTAATAAAACGGAGTTTTTTTCATGCGAGGTCGATGAAACAACAGACATGCGATGCTCATTTCAAATGTCTGTCATTTTTCGATTTGTTCACGAGGGACTTTTTTAATGAACTAATTCAAAACTTCAACCATTTTAATTTAACGCATAAATTAATTGGACAAACCTATGATGGGGCCTCTGTTATGGCAGAGGAACTAAATGGTTTGCAGTCTAAAATAGCCTCAAGCCTTGTTTACTCATTGTTATGCCCATAAATTAAATTTGCTTTTCCAAGATACCTACATCAAAAAATGTGAGGCAGTGCAGGATATTTTTTTCGAATGTTGGCGGATTTTCTACTTTTTTCAAAATCAACAAAACGAACCAATCTTTTAGAAACATTTTGTAAAAAACGATTGCCTACCAATTCCGAAACCCGCTGGAATTTTAAATCTCGTATTGTTCATACTTTAGTAGATTACAGAACAAGTTTACTTAAAGTTTTTGAAACGTCAGTGAAAACCTAAAGCAGCAGAGCAGCAACAGCAGCCCAGCAGATAAGACCTAAAGAGGGTATATGAGATTGTACCGAAACGTCGTCAGACATACGGTTCTTTTAAAAACCAAAAACCGACAACACGGAGCAGATCCCGGAAAAGCATCAATACATATAACGCCCGTAGAAACCTCAAGCAGAACATTGATCTCGTTAATTTGCGTGGCGTTTTGGTGGTTGTAATAGCTGATTTCCATGCAGTTGGTAGTCTCTGTGTATCATTTCTTGGTCCTGTGTTCGATGCTAGCCAAGACCCTTGTTTTTTCAAGACTGCGTTACGATGTTCTTCGCGTCTAACGTTGATACGTCTATTGGTCTGTCCCACACGGTTCACCAAACCCCGTTTTTAACGAAAAAAATAGAACAACTTTAAAACATTTTTTAAAAAAATACTTACCAACTAAGTATTCAAAAAAAAGTAAAATGAAAATCTTCCATGTAGATTTTGGGAAATAGCGATCAATTCTTCGTAATTTATGTGCAGTATCGTATATTGCTAATATTTTATCTGTCTCAAAGTTAATATTTGTAGAATATTTTTAATTTGAAAGACTCATACGATAGTAGGAAACTCAAACTTTATTCTTCTGAATGCATTATTCAAAATTATAAACGTAAAAATTTATAAACTTTAAAGTTTATAAATTTTTACGTTTATAATTTAATTAACAAAAATGTAAAAAACAACAAAATAAATCTAAGCCTACAGATGTTGACTATTGTATGCACAAAGACATTGAATCAAAATTATATTATATTTTTCTGGATAAATTAAAATTCCTGGAAAATATATTGAATGAATGATGAACTTGCTTCGATGCTTGCTCTGAGAAGAAACCAAGGGCTCTTTGCGTTTCTTCAAAATATATATATATATATATATATATATATGCATATATGTAAAACTTTTCAAAACAAAGATAAAAAGGTCCAAAAATCGTAAAATTAATTAATAAAAAAAAGCCAAACAGTAAACCAAAAATGGTTTGTTTTATGACCAAAATTTTTGATTATAATCTCCTTGGCAATGAGTCCTTGTGTAATAAAATAAGACGTAGCCAATTTTGGTTTACTAGTACAGCTGCAGCTGTTTGGCTTTGTTTTTATTGTTTAATTTGTTTTGAGCTTTTACGATTTTTTGACCTTTTTTATCTTTGTTTTAAAAAGTTTTACATAGATATTTACATACATATCTATAGATTGTACCTACTGTAGATTTAGTGGCGGCTGGTGGATTTTGGGAACACCCATATCTCAGTTATTAGACATGGGATCCACATCAAATTTATATGAGTTTATAATAACATTATATAGACAAGTTCTGCGCAAGCAGAATTCAAATTGAAGTTTGCGAAAAAAGTTAGTTTTTAAGTGTGCCCCCCACCCTCCTGCTCCCCAAATTAAGATAATTCAAATTAAAGTGGTACACTATTTAATTCACTGAAGTTTATCGAAAAATTTCAAATTTTATTAAAAAATTTCAAGAATTACAGGTTTTATACCATTTTAAATTTTTATTATTTCTTTTACTAAATTAAAAAAAAATAGAAATGGTATAAAATCTGTAATACTTGAATTTTTTTAATATAATTTGAAATTTGTCGATAAACTTCAGTGAATTAAATATTGTACCACTTTAATTTGAATTATCTTAATTTGGGGGGCAGGAGGCTGGGGAAGCACACTTAAAAACTAACTTTTTTTTCGCAAACTTCAATTTGAATTCTGCTTGCATAGGGTGTTTCAAAAAACATGCGCCAACGCTCGGCTGGAGATTCATCATCCAAAAATAAGAAAAAAAGTCATATAAACGTGGGTCCGAAAATGCCTAGTTTTTAAGATACAGGGTGTTAAATATTTTTTTAAGAACGGCTTTTTTAAAATATCTTAAATATCCTTTGGCCGATTCTGTTGAAATTTGGCAACGTTATTTATAGTAAGTAGCTAATTTTTCTTTGACTACGTTAAAATTTTCCAGTTTAGTTGGAATCATTTTTTAAAAGATCAAAGTTTGATCATCAAACATGGCAAAAAGTATAAAATATGAGATTTGTCAATTTTCATGTAATAATGTGGTTTTTATTTTTTCTTTCGAAAACGAGGTAAGATACGAAAAATACTCAAGAGACAAAAAAGTTGTATTTTTAGTGGCTTAATCTAAAAAATATATAAAACCTGCAAAAAATTCAGTGGCGCACATTTTTTTTCTTAATAATATTTCTTAAGGTGCCCCCCGGTACGCCACTGGACTTGAAAATTTTAACGTAGTTAAAGCAAAATTAGCTACTTAATAATATAAATAACGTTGCCAAATTTCAACAGAATCGGCCAAAGGATATTTAAGATATTTTAAAAAAGCCGTTTTTAATAAAAATATTTAACACCCTGTATATTAAAAACTAAGCATTTTCGGACCCACGTTTATATGACTTTTTCTTCTTATTTTTGGATAATGAATCTCCACCCGAGCGTTGGCGCATGTTTTTTGAAACACCCTGTATAATGTGCCCGGTAAAAGTGGGCATTTTACAAATTTCGATCAAAATAATAACTAAAAAAATGTTCAGTAAAGAATATTATATTTTTACCAAATATATAAATATTTTATTTTAAAATCGGGTACCAATTTTATAAATTTAGCCGAAAATTTTTCGGTCGGGAAGTTAAAATTCTTGAAATTCATCCGGCAGCACTGTCCTCTTAACTTTGACATTTAAAAGTGAGGTTAAGTTCTATGAGTTTATAAACAACTTTAGCATATCCATCAACAAAATATTTTAAAAAACAAATAGACTTTTTTAACATATTTTCTACCCATTGTACTATGTCATCTCTTATGATGGACTACGAATTCAAAATGAAAACCCAAAATGAGAGGGTTAAAGTTGAAGATTTATTTGATTATGAGGGCTGTAAGGTGGGCAGAGGAACTTACGGGCACGTATACAAGGGTCGACGAAAGGATGGCTCGGACCCAAGAGATTATGCATTGAAACAAATAGAAGGAACTGGTCTATCAATGTCTGCATGCAGAGAAATAGCAGTAAGTTTAACAATTGTTTTCAAACATTGACATGACATGATTAATTTTGTTGTAGCTTGTTAGAGAGTTAAAACACCCAAATGTGATAAGTTTAATACGAGTATTTCTATCACACAATGATAGAAAAGTGTGGTTGTTATTTGATTTTGCTGAACATGATTTATGGCACATTATTAAGTTCCATAGGGCAGCTAAGGCCAACAAAAAGCCAGTAATGGTGCCAAAGGGAATGGTAAAATCTTTACTGTACCAAATTTTAGATGGTATTCATTATTTACACTCAAACTGGGTGCTACACAGAGATTTGAAGCCTGCCAATATTTTGGTTATGGGAGAGGGTACAGAAAGGGGCAGGGTTAAGATTGCCGATATGGGTTTTGCAAGATTATTTAATGCCCCTCTAAAACCATTAGCTGATTTGGACCCTGTGGTGGTAACGTTTTGGTACAGGGCCCCTGAGCTGCTTTTAGGAGCAAGGCATTACACCAAAGCTATTGATATATGGGCCATTGGATGCATTTTTGCTGAACTGTTAACTTCAGAGCCTATTTTTCATTGTCGACAGGAAGATATTAAAACAAGTAACCCATACCATCATGACCAACTTGATAGGATATTTAATGTTATGGGTTTTCCACATGAAAAAGACTGGGAGGATATTAAAAAAATGCCTGAGCATCCTACACTACTTAAAGACTTTAAAAAATCAAAGTATTTATTTTCATCATAATTTAATTTATATTAGGTATACTAAGCCTAGTTTTTTAGTTATGTGAATTGTTCTTTGGTTAAATATATGGACAGGCATAAGATCAAACCTGATAGTAAGGCCTTCCATTTACTACAAAAACTGTTGCTTATGGATCCCAATAAAAGAATTACTTCGGAACAAGCCATGCAGGATCCATATTTTTCAGAAGATCCTCTACCAACAACAGATGTTTTTGCAGGTTAATTCATTCAATAATTAAAAAATATTCCATAAAAAATTACAAAGATTTAATTTATTCAAATCAGTTAAAATTTATTTTTTTTTAAATCGACGAAGTAATTTTTTAAACCACCAAAATATAACTTATATTAGTAAAATATGTTGTTAATTTGATTTCTTTAAAGTACCTACAATTTAATATTTTATATTACTTTAAAACAAAATTAGATTATATACAAATTTTTGTTAAAAACCTTTTTTAAGGATTAAATTTATTAAAAGTATAAATATATAATTTCAGGTTGTCCCATTCCATACCCAAAGCGCGAGTTTTTAACAGACGACGACCAGGAAGAAAAAAGTGACAATAAACGTCAAAATCAACAACAGGCCCAACAACCTCAGCAGCAACAGCAAACACAGAATCAGCAACAATCTTCCGGAAACGACAATCACGGAAATCCGGCTAAAAGAGTTAGGCTAAATGGCCCACCGCACCCAGGACAAGTTAACCAACAAGTAATAATTCTTTTATAAGTACTGGGGTGTGCCAAAAAACTCGATATTTTTTTTCTTGCTCTCCACCCAAAATATCGTAGAATATGTCCGAACAAATATTCTGTTAAAAGCGGAGCACATAATTTCAATTTTAAGAGGTCCTTCATCGAATCTGAAGTTTTGCCGCTTAAATAACACAGAAAACTGACTTTTTTACCTTATTAATTCTTGCAACCTAGGAAGAATTTTTTTTTTATAAAATCCATGACTAGTTCTTACAAAGCATTAAATTTGGACAAAAAAATCTTATTAAGCCGATTTTCTATTTTCATTATTTGATTTTTTACAGAGCTTTAACCCTTTCAATACGACTTTTCGGAAATTAATTTAAAACTTTTTTTTAGTGTTAAAACTATCTTTAGGTTAAAAATAGTTAATTGACTGAATGACAGATTTTTAACTTTGGTGGTATTTGAAAAAAAGGCCTGGGACAGATTTATCCCTGCAGTAATATGCCCTGGGATATATTTATCCCCACACTAAATAAATTCTACTATTTTTGAAAATGTTTATTATCAAAAAACACTGATGAGATAAAGCTATCCCCTGTCATATTACTGCAGGGATATTTTTGTCCCAACGAATGAGTTGTGATGTACAATGCACATAAAGTATCACAAAAATTCAAGCAAAATTTACACAAAAACTGCAAAAAAGGTTATGTGACTGGTCTTTTTCAATTTCGAGCGTGCAATGGCCGAAAAACAGCTGGTTATTGTTCGAGTGACGTTAAATAAATTAAGTTTGTATTACTGATATCCCAAGTCAAGACATAGAAATACTAAATTGTCCCGACCCTGTTTTATTTAAACGCACTTAATTAAGTAGAGACATTTTTTAATTATCTTTGGGAAGCATTTATCCCCGCAATATTGAAAGGGTTAAATTTAAAGTTAATAATACAAAAATGATGACTTTATACGCCTGTAACTTTTAGAATATTTTTTGTGGTCCATCAGACAAGCTAAAAAATTGCCATTTGACTTTTTCGTCTAACTTCAATAGTTTAGCTGAAAAAGGCAAAAAAAGTAAAATTTTAAATTTAAAGCTCTGTAAAAAATCAAATAATGAAAATAGAAATTCGGCTTAATAACATTTTTTCGTCCAAATTTAATGCTTTGTAAGATTTAGGTTGCAAGAATAAATAAGGTAAAAAAAGTCAGTTTTCTGTGCTATTTAAGCGGCAAAACTTCAGATTCGATGAAGGACCTCTTAAAATTGAAATTATGAGCTCCGCTTTTAACAGGATATTGGTTCGGATATATTTTACGATATTTTGGGTGGAGAGCAAGAAAAAAAAATATCGAGTTTTTTTGGCACACCCTAATAAGTACCCATACATATTATGGATTTACATTTATAAGTATTAACTGTTTAGTTATTTTGCCAGTTGGTATTAAGATAAAAGCAAAATTTGCAAAAAAAATTTTCAAATTAAAAAAACATTTAGGAAGCAATTTTTAAAATATTTAAAAAAATATTTTAATTAGGTATTTATTAATATCAAAGGCCTGATTCGAGAAATACTCATCTCAATCAAATTACCTTTACATCTTAATTGTTATTATAATTGTTATTGTTAACAATATTCATTAACAAGTGGTGATAGTTGAGTTGTAATGGACATGCCTGAGGACTTTGTGGTCCATGGTTCGAGTTTTTTGTTTATATATATATTAGGGTGTCCCAAAAAAAAAGAATATATTTTTTTTTCTTGTCTCTTGTAAAAATATGTTAGTTTATCATGCTGTGAGAGCTCTTTCAAAATATCAGCTCGATTAAAAATTTTGTAGGGGTCGCTCAAGATTTTTAAAAATTTTCAAAATGGTCAAAAATTGAATTTTTGTTTTATTTTAATTCTTTTTCTCGTCTCGATATTATTTTTTAGGTTGAAAATAATAAAAATTCTGTAAATTTCAAATCAATATTTTGATTTCTAAAGGTCGCTTAAAGTTCGTTGATATTTATATTCAGGGGTCGCTCGAAAACATTCAAAATACTCTACTTTGAAAGTTAAAAAAATCTTGAGCGACCTTTAGAAATTAAAATATCGATTTGAAATTTTCAAAATCATTATTATTTTTAAATTAAAAAATAATATCGGAAAGAGAAAAAAAATTAAAATAAAAAAATTCCAATTTTTGACGATTTTGGTAATTTTTAAAAATCTTGAGCGACCCCTAAAAATTTTTTAATGGTGCTGATCTTTTGACAGGGCTCTTAAAACATGACAAACCAACATATTTGCACAAGAGACGAGAAGAAAAAAAATATTCTTTTTTTTTGGGACACCCTAATATATATATATATGTTTTTCTTTATTTACGCAGCAACGATAGGGCCACAGCCAGGCAGGACGAATCAGGACACAGTCCTGACAGGCAAAACTTTTGCCCTGGCTAAAAACTCACTAGTCTAAAATTTAATATATTTTAATATAGCATTTAATATAACAATTAAGAAATTTTCTTCCTGCACAATAAAAACTACATACAATGTGTCCCTAAACTTAGTGGCATAAATTTAGGAGCAGATTAAGCAAGTCAAAATAAGACGAAAACTAAATAAATATTTTTCCTAATGACGTATGTTTAAAAGATACAGGGTGATAAAGAGTTACTTATCATATCAGTTTTTTTAATATAACTTCTACTATGGTAGACTTAGAAAGGTGATATTTTGCGAACAGTCACTTACTACCAAAACACATATTCACACATAATTACAATTGTTCGAATGAACCCAGTGTCGTAGAAACAGGGGTTGCTTAAGCTTATTGTCCCATACAAACTTTGAGGTTAGGTTTTTATACTATTTGATGCAATTTTTCGATTCCTCAGTTCGGCTACTATTCAATAATTGTTATATCGCATTAAAGGACTAAAAGGTATATTATAACAAATTTTTAATTAAAAAAACTACAATTTTTTTTAATGTGACGGTCAGGGCAAAACGTCCCGAGGCTCATAGAATGCCTTTTTTAGTTTTTTCAATTAAAAAATAAAATTTGTTATCATATACCTTTTAATCCTTTTAAATAATGAGATATAACAATTATTGTAATCTCGAATATCTCGGAAACAGTTTATTTTATCGAAGTTTAAGAGGTACACCTTTTAAATGGTAGCCGAACTGTGTAATCGAAAAATTGCATCAAATGTTATAAGAACTTAACCTCAAAGTTTGTATGGGACAATAAGCTTAAACCAACCCCCGTTTCTACGACACTGTGTTCACTCAAACAATTATAATTATGTGTGAATATGTGTTTTGGTAGTAAGTGACTGTTCGCAAAATATCACCTTTCCAAGACTTCCATAGTAGAAGTTATATTAAAAAAACTGATATGTTAAGTAACACTTCATCACCCTGTATCTTGGAAACATAAGTAATTAGAAAAAATATTTATTTAGGTTTTCGACTTATTTTTACTTGCTCAATCTTTTCCTAAATTTATGCCAATAAGTTTAGGGACACCTTTTATATTGGGGTATACCTACCCCTAATATTTATTAAAACGGCAACGTATGGAGCATTTCAAGCTAAATTGACCACTTTTAAAATTGATCCACCAAAACCGTTTCTTACATTTTTTTACCCACCAGAAATTTGTTGTTTTTTTTTCAAACACTTACTTTACTTTCCCAAATACCAAAGTTGACCCACTTTTCTATTTTTTATATATTTAAGTATAAAAAATATATACCTATAAATAATTATTTAGAATTAATTTGTCATAAAAACAAAGTTAGATTGCAAACAAGTTTAAAGAAAATTTGGACAACCAAACTCTAAACAATTAATGTTTTTTTCCTAAAAACTGAAACATTTTTTTTTAATTTTCGTTTGGGTAAAATTTGAATACACTCACAGAAACGTTTTAAGTGGGGTAATACAATCTCCCACACCTAAAACTCATAAAATTAAAATTTGGCTTAAATCTCGAAAACTCCTAAAAATTAAATATAAATAACCTGACTGACTGATTTTTAATTCGCATAATTTTAAAAAAATAATTGGAGAAATTTTGAAATGTATTAAGTAAAAATTTCATAGGAGATATTTTTAATTTGATTTAATTTTTATTTTATTAAATAAGCAGATATTTTTAATTCAATGTGATATTTTTAATTCCGACTGAAAGTTTGGACACCCTAAATAATTTTGTCGCTAGATGGCTGCACTATCATTGAGATCTACGACGTACGTGAGTCCGATGTCGCACTGACCCATTGTGTGCTGAACAAGGACAGTGCACGTTAGTTTGTTGTTGGAGTGGGTCGGTTTTTGTGTCGTTTGGAATAACAGGGGTATCCAAACTCTCAATCAGTAGGAATAAAAAATATCACATTGAATTAAAAATATCTGCTTATTTAATAAAATAAAGATTAAATCGAATTAAAAATACCTCCTATGATTTAATACATTTAAAAAATTCTCATAGGATATTTTTAATTTAGCGATTTAAAAATATTTGTTTAGCAAAAAAATACAATAATAATTATTATAATAATAATTATAATTAACTAAATAATAAATATCAGTTTGGCATAAAAATTAAATCAAATTTTTAATTTAGCGAATTAAAAATACAAATATAAGAAACATATATTTTAAATATACTAAATTAAAAATACCAATTTGTCATATAAATTAAATGTAATTTTAAAATATTTGCAGAATAAAAATTATTTTGTGATATGTTTTATCTAATTGAAAATATTACTCTAGGATTAACACCAAGGGCGTCGCCAGCCGGTAAGCTAGGGGGGGCAGCATAAAAGAACTGAAGAGAAAAATCAAAAAAGAAAAGTTTTAATAAAAAATATAAAAAACGAACAAAATAACTACCTAGAAAATCAATTGAATAATCTTTGCGAATTCGTTAGTCACTTTGTTGACAAAATCGTCCAAGGTTTTGAAAATTGTAAATGACCAATAGAATCCAATAAAAAATAAGT